TCAGCACCGTATCGCATATTATTTATATATAATTATATATATATTATTTTATTTATATATATTACTCATTGCAGAGAGCAACAATGTCAGTACGCCGCTCGCACGCGCTATGACGTCAAATCAAAGATGGTGGATGGCGGCTCGCTCGTTCTAGCTGCCACGCGACCCATCTGAATTGCGACATGCAGCGATGACCGGTGTATATACCGTCTGCTAACCCTGCAGAACGGCGTGGACAATTACTACATATCTCGCAGCCGCCAGGCCCTGCGTATAACAGTTACACGCCTACATAAACATTTACGCGCGGCTGTCGATCGAAGAGTTACTAGTAAGTTATGTGATGTTTTGACTTGGCGCCAGGCAAGGCGGGCGGCTATGTACATCTATAAAGCTCTTTCGGTTTTCATGAAAGATCGTGAAGACCCTTCGACCTTGCTTCTCCAGACGGCGTTTATTGTATAAAATTTCTGTTATAACAACAGCCTAACACGCGTGGCCGCTTCACTGTTTTAACGCGCCATTTCTTTAGGATGCCTACTCAACTAAGAGATACCGCACACATCTACTATCGCGACTAAGAGATCGTCTGTGTTTACGAGCATATTGATGACCATCTTAGATTAATCAGTAGTAATTATTATCACGAGAAGAAACCCGCACTATTGGTACAATCGATGAATATCAGCATTACCTTCTTTATACGCTCTTGATATCAGCTACCAGGGCCGTCGTAGTTAACTCATTTGCCTAGGCGACAAAGCCACGTGCTGTTTGTGTTCTAGCAGTTCACCGCGGAAGTTCGCCATTGGCCATGTAACAATATCTACATTGGTCTAGGGAGAAAATCCCCCCCGTAGCCTCCTCGTTAGCTGCAACCAGCACACGGCCTTGCTCTTCTTACTCGTTAACTTACGATGTATATCATATAAAATGCGTTTCAAATGAAAATATGAAACAAGTATTTACAGCATATGTGAGCTGTATATATGTGAGCTTATATACATCCATAGTTATCATCATATATCACAATGTGAGCTTATATACATCCATAGCCTGGTGCAGGGTATGCGAATTCAAGTGAACAAATGATAAACACACTAATGCTTTTTTTGCAAATGTGCAGTACTGCTGTGTTCGTTAAAATATTTTATTATATTTGTCGGTATCTCGCTCTCTCGCCATTCTTCACTTTCGTCTATTGCTGCTGGTGCGTGGGTGTGTGCCGGTCGCGTCGTGTGCATGCGCGCGCTGGAGCTGAATGCGCCCCCCCCCCCTCCGAGTATGCGGCCTGGCAGCACACACCGCGTGTCCCTATTCATTTTGTTTACACTTAGCCTACCCCACCGGACCGCGGAACGCCTGGCTTATTTTCTATGACCGCGCTAAACGACCGGCGCAGTAGTTGTCTTCCGACACAGAAGCAAGTGCTACATGCCTACGATAGATCAACAGATCGGACCGGGGAGCAGTTATCGCCGGCATTCTCGCTTGATTCAATAGGCCGTCTATGTGGCCCTAAGAAAGATGTATTCCCGGATCATGCGCGGTTAGGCTACCTTCCGTACAAGGATGCTGTAAACGCGGACCGTTGAGGATGATGTGACACATCCAGTAACGATTAAACCCGCAAATTCGTCGAGTATAAATTGACACGAGCCGTAATTATAAACAAGGCCTCTTGGCCTGAGCTTGCTCGATCGTTTTTTTTTCAAGATCGCAACACAGGACGCACCTCTCATCCAGCACGGACACAGCGCGCGCCTATGCATAGCCCTACGTATGGCACATACACATACACAGAAACATACACAGGCAAAAGCACGATGCACATACCCATACACAGACGCGCGCATACATACTGGCACACGCGCACCGCACGCGCGCGACGCACGAACCGAGGTGATTGCACAAACACGTGGTCGCCGTGGCGACGACACCACGCGAATATAACCACAAGCGCGTTGGGTTGATTCGCACGCAGGGAGCGAACGGTGCCGCCTTTCTACACTGCGATGCCAAACGGTACGCCGAACGGCCACAGCAGCCCGCCGCCTGCCAGTGGTCCTCTAATGAGAATTTAGCCACCGCGCGGGCGCAGTCTGTACACAATCAGGAATCAACTTGTCAAGCGACATAAGCTGGCAAGCATGTGTGTCACGCACCCGGGGGCCACAACCTCGGTGGGAGGAAGGCGGTAAGCTGCAGTGACGCCCTACTAATTGTAGGAGAAAATAAAAACATATCGTCTGCTAAAATACACAGGAAACCAGATCAATATAATAGATAATAATCAAACATTTATTCATTATATTCCATAGATGTGGTTATTATTCAAAATGTATAACCACCGTAATTTTTCAGCTATATGTAACCAATTCCACCCACCCATGGAATTCGCCCACACTACAGCTTCTATATCACTTTTCCAGTCGCTGCCAATCGCGACTAAGTTTCATTGTCATTGCGAACTAAGGTTTTGCAGTAATCATTTTGGGGCAGTAATTCCGACGCATTGTCCAATTCAAATCATATCAATCAAATCAATATCAATAAGTTTCATAGTGAAGCTATCGGTACAATCATCGCCATTATCGTGTTTCACACGATTACTGCACACCGATCACACGGATGTATCACAGCAATGGTGGCCATTGCCTGTTAATGGCACTGTCTGGTTTTGTGGCGAGCAACGCGAAAAGCGATGCCTCTACCACAAGCCGTCGGTTCGAGTGAGAAACTAACGTAAACTCCGCGTACGCCATGTCATGTGCGCTTCAGAGTCACAAGCACGCAGAAACCGTTCTCTGTCATTACCCTCTACCTGATTCTCAGCAGACCACGCCAAGCACCACTTTCCTGCGCGGGCGGCCGCCACAAGCAGGCCGACCGGATACGCCACATGGCGTGAATTACAACAGTAAATCTTCATTGACAATGGTGTTCGACGAAATTTTGTGGACGCCGTCGGTCAGATGTGTGGAAATATTGCGTGCGCACGATTAACAGTGGACTCTGTCTCCGCATAACAGTGCTCACGCTGGCGGTTTTACGGTGAACAATGCGTCAACTGTGTATACATAACAGAGTATTTAAGGTCAGATGTCGGTATGCTTTCCGCGGTCACCTGCGCGTTTGGGCGTGTAGCGTGTGTGGCGCGTGCGTGCGTGTGTATATGCGTGTGTGAACGTGGTGGGTGCATCCGTGTGTGGGTGTGCGTTGAGAGAGAGAGGAGTTCAATATAAAATTAATATAAACTAGAGAGGATAAAAGAACGTGGAGCACGTCGATTGCTAAACGGCGATACCGGATGATGGAAGCAAATAGCGTGTGCGCATCGCTGCGCATGTAGTCTGTGCTGCGCGCGCTGCCTACGCGCTGTCTCGTGGCGTGCTTGCGCGCTTGTTGTGTTTCCTGTATGTGGCGTGCGTGTGCGTGTGATGCGTGCGTATGTGTGCGGCGTGCTGTGTGACACACTGCGTGATCATCGACTCAGTCGACAGTACCGCACGCCCGGCCGCCGTCGGCCCGCATGATTATATCGCCAGCACCCGGCAATCTAGCAAAATTACTCTAGATTGTTCATGCATGTTCTCATGATCGCGCGCGTGTTAAAACCTCATCTTGCGCCCGCAGAGCAGCGGGGCGGATACCATTAGTTACGTGCAGAACCTTGCGCTCGCCTTCGCGGCCTTGTGACAACGTTCTGCGCCTTTCCGAAACTTCATCCTTCAGCCGACCGCATCAAGAGCAGCTTTGAAAATTGGAGCCGATGCCGGCGGACGATTTTGTTTGCGCGTAATGAAGACGCATGAAGGCGCCATAGGCTACCGTTACGTTGAGCTAGCCGCGTTGGGGGTCGGTCCGTAAATTATCCACGGTCTGACGAAGTGAAAGGCGCCTGCGAGACGGAACTTTAGCGACGCCACCACGGCTTCCGCGTTCGATATTAACTGTTGCATGTGCGAAAGCGCCAAGGGTGTCTTTCGAATTTCAATGCAATTTCTGCTCTGGAGCAAACACTTAAGTGGCTTATTTGTTGAATATGTAGCGTCGATAAATAGCTCCCCCGAGGTCCGCAGTGTGTTAGTAATATCACGTGACAAATGTAACCTCGCGGAAATAACCTCCTTAGAAAACTAAATGGGAAACGCTGTCTCTGGCCAATTGATGGCAAACGTCTACCAAGTCATTACACGCCTGGAACGAAACAGCAGTTATCAAATTATTCTGTGTTCGGTCTTTGATAAAATAATACGCTGTGTTGGAACCGGCCGGCTGGCAGGGGGAACCGCATGAAGTATTCGCGTCCTGTCTCTCAACTGTACTTTTTTACTAATTTTGTTTAATACTAATTATGTATGTGCGACGGACCTACTACCAACTAATAACTACAACACACATATATATATATATTATATATATATATATATATATATATATATATATATATATATATTGGGGGGGGGGGTTTTGTGTGTGCATCCGTGCGTACGTTCGCGCGCGGTGTCTATTTTATCCAAGCTTATCCATACAATTCCGCGCTTCGTCGCACCTTATGTCTGGATAATTACGAGCCATTTCAAATTTTACGTTATTTCGCTCAATAATAAAAAAACGAATTAAATAACATATTGAGTCCGCACGCGTCCTGACGTATTATATGAAAGAGACGACGTTGCTTACCACCGGGTCAACGCATTTTGTCGAATCAACATAATATCGAGAGATGCAGCTGCTGAATTCCCATGAAGGCACGCAAAATCAGTGTCGATCAATACGCTACATGCGCATCCATAACTCATTCGTTGTGTTAGATATATTCTATACGTATATACGAGTAAAAAAACCTCGCAAGACAAAAGTTTAAACTCCGATATAAGGCTACAATATAAAGTTCGATACGGTCATGATGGTAGAAAACACAATTAATGAATTTTATCTGCGCGCCGGGGTCGCTAAGATACCGAAATGGAACGTAAATCCAGCCGATCACCTACCAAAATATTGCGCCGTCTTCTAATTTCTCGTCGACACGAGATCGAACGTATAAATAAATGTATATATATATATATCCGTCAGGTCTTACGTGACAACACCTTACGCAGCACGAGCGAGCAGGCTGGCGACTGTTCACGCATAGTTTACACGCCAGTTTCCTGCAGAAAACTGACCGGAATTTCGGCGGCGAAAAGCGCGGCGTCTAAGCAGCGCCCGAGCGCGCTGCGCATGCGCGTCACGCTTGGCGGAGGCAGTGATGAAGCGAGTAGTGTTTTCTGCTTTCCTCCTCGCGGCGTTTAGGGCCGGCGGCTCGGCCAGGCTAGAAACGCATCACACTTGACTGCTAATCCTAGCACGTACTCATTACACGATCCATTGGGTGCGACTTACTTACACCAGACCCCAATTAGTAGAATAATGTATGTGTAGCGACTTGCACATTGATAAAGCACCGGAAACTAGCTTTATTTACTGACCACAGATTATGCTTATTGTCCGAAACGTTGAGTCAAGGCGTACGCGGCGGGAAAGTCATAGCTATGGTTCGGAAGTTTCGCTCGCCCCCTCTTTCGCCTTAATTGACTCTTTCTGTTTGAGTTTCACTCGAAACTGGTTACGACAAGACTACTGTACATATGTTTATAAGCGCATGTGTTCTGAGGACGGCTACACTTATCGACGATGGTTTTACAAGTGGTTTGTAGCCTTGTTTCAACTTAAACGGCGTACATCGACGCATCTGATTTTTTTTTCAAAGAAAAGCATCGAAAAATTATATCATCAACGATATTACAGAAATCTTTATAAATCAGAACGTTCATTCTGCCTGCTAATTGATATTGATCGTTAATTGATGATAAACACGATATCTATGACAGGTGATAACGATAGCGATAGTTCTATGAATGTGACCGTATAATATCAAGTAAGAGTCTTAATTACAAGTAATTAATCAAAACAAACTTCCGATGTGCATGTTAGAAGTTAGAAGTTACCGCAGACATGTTGAGAGAGAGAGAGAGAGAGAGAGAGAGAGAGAGAGAGAGAGAGAGAGAGAGAGAGAGAGAGAGAGAGAGAGAAAGAGAGAATGATGCTGCAGAGAGAGAGAGAGAGAGAGAGAGAGAGAGACGCAGAAGGAGAGAGAGAGAGAGCGACCATCCACCATATCAGCGCATCACCACCCATGATGAATCCATAATGCGTTCATATGCATATGGATTGCGCAGCGGGCGCACGAGGTTAAACCGCGCCTAGTGTGCGCGCATGCGAACGATGAAGGAATTTTACATTCAAATCGCCCTCGACTGTAAGCAGTATAAGCACCCCGGCCTACTCTAGGGCATGATTAGGACAGCTGTACGCGGTTGGCGAAGAAATGTGAACACGCAAAATCTTAACAGGAGCTATATGTGAGTGCATCTGTGATGCGTACATTTGTACAATGAATGAGCGCGGAACTCGTCGTCAAAACGTCAAAACTCTTCGTTTCGGTGCTTGGGTAGAACATTCAGGCGCCAACCCTCCAATCTCCATTAGCATGTGCATAAATCGCCGATGAAATATATCAAACTGTGATTAACAGTAGTGGCAGCACAGCGATGGCAGTAGGGACCTACATGGAGCTATCAGTCTCCGTGTATCGCTGGCACTAGCACGGCTGGATGTTATACCAGTAGCACACGAAGACAGAGAGGGAGTATGGTAGGACAAGAGAGATGAAAGGAGGGTGATAGATAAGAAGAGGGGGCGTGAGAGAAGGAGAGAGCGGGAGAGGAAGAGAGAAAGCGAGAGATAGCAAGCATGAAAGAGAGAGACAAAGAAAAAGAGAGAGAAAGAGAGAGAGCGAGAGAGTAAGATAGATAAATAGACAGTGAGAAAGAAAGTCAGAGAGAAGAGAAGTGAGAGAGTTGGGGGATGAAAGAGCAGTACATATATCGGGCAACAGCCACCACCAACCATCTACCATTAATCAACTGAAGCCACGTGTAACCTCATTATTCGCTTTGTCGTTCGCTCTTTTCCTCTCTCCCTCTCTCCATCTCTCTCTCTTTCCCTCTCTTTCACTCACGTACCCTTTCTCGTAGGCGCGTTCTCTCTCCTATCTCTCTCTAGCTCATTGTCTCTCTCTATTATGTTAGCTCACTAACAAAACCAACTACACACAACCAAATGCAATTCGCACGCACGGCCCAAACCTGCCACATTTCAGGTTTCCGTTAAGAGGCTTTCCAAATCCAACTCCATTCTTTCCGCATATACACTAGAATATTCTTGTAATACCCCGACTACCACCATTTTGCCCTTCCCCGCCAGTCGCGGTGACTCAGTTTGCCTCCGTCTTTCTCCCGTACGCGCATCCACGGCACGTGTCCTAATATTGTATTTCGTATATGTAAATACGCATAGCTGCCCCTCTCTCCCTCTCTCCCTCTCCATCACAAGTGCCGCGCGGCGCGATTAGGTATACTACCACACACACACACACACACACACACACACACACACACACACACACACACACACACACACACATACACACCCGCGCAGCACTGTCTGCGCCATCACTTAATGACATGAGACAGCGCGCGGCTGAAAAGTTAAACCGAGTACGCGAGTAATTTAACAAGACGCGGATCAATATGGCTAGCAGATTGCGATTTCTCTGGCACAAGAGGTCACACTGGCCCTAAAGTAGGAGTCTGGCAGGCAAACTCCACTGATAGATCGATCCCCCGATACAAGAGACGGTGACGGTGCGTGTGCAGGCATTCGACTGCTCGTTGCACGGCGACGAACGCGCGCCGCCGCACACTCGAAGCGCTCGCTGTAAAAATTTCCGACTTCATTTAAATCGCCTCGCGAAGGGTCATTTGCGGTTCGCGCAAAATGTAAACCGGAAAATGGAGATAATTTTATTGTTGCGAAATGCATTTGTATTCTGCGACGCGCCGATACGAACCGCGCATTGCGTGGCTCGTTATAATGGCCATGTAGTGATGTGATTGAAACGCCGTCGCAATATTAATTAGGTCGGAATTAACCAAAATCGTAATAAATGGCAGCGTGGTAAGCGGCTTTCATTCAGCGAGCAAGCTGCAATCACGGATCGACAATTGCTAATTTGGCGAAAATCGTATACAATCGCATTTGCATCGATCAAAAACAGCTTGTGATCTTATACAAATTGAAGCGAACAGTTTGGGGATATTTAGAGTTCTTCTCCGCAGGAGCCCAGCGTTTATCGTTGATGTGATCTCGACGAAAGTCGTGAATAATGACTCATGTTATCGGTCGCTGAAGGATTCGCCTAATCGTTTCGCGCTGAATCCGAGAACTCAGTTAAGATCGAATAAACGCGCAAAAATGTGCGTTTCGCGCAGATCACCGTGGCACTGACTCATACGGACGCGAGTCATTCGCATTTCGATTAGAGATAAATGCTTCTCTACGACATGCAAGCCTATATTTGGAGAATACGACGCGAAATGTGTGCGTATATACCCTCAAATATACGAGCAAGCGGGGTAATTTCAGCGGGGCAGGACCAATCCGAGTTCCAAGTGCATTGCGTGAGATAGTTCGTAGTGGCTCTGTGTGGCATAGGGAAGTGTTAGTCGTGAGCCTAGCTAGCATAGGGAGTAGGAGATGGTCTGAATATAATATCAAGACAATATGTCTATATGAAGAGCTAGGGAGAATGCAGCGCACTTCTGCTCGCGCGCAAGCAGCACAAGTACACCGTAGGTGAATCACAGGGGCTGGGAGACGGATGGCTTTCGCTCTCTCTCTCTATCTCTCTCTCTCTCTCTCTCTCTCTCTCTCTCTCTCTCTCTCTCTCTCTCTCTCTCTCTCTCTCTCTCTCTCTCTCTCTCTCTCTCTCTCTCTCTCTCTCTCTCTCTCTCTCTCTCTCTCTCTCTCTCTCTCTCTCTCTCTCTGGCTGCACATTGCATGTAGAACCCCCTCCCCCCACCACCACCACCGCCACCACTCCAAATGCAGTTCGAAATCAAAATTAGGGGAAGGAACTTTTGGATTGTTGAAGAGAAAAGATTTAGATGGAGTCTGGTAGCTAAATGGAAGTTCAAACGGTCTTCCGTCCTTTGAGAAATAATGGATGAACACAAAAACGTCGGGCGCGTATATAAGCCGTGGACGCATTTATATAGATCTAGGTCGTGTGTGGGTGTAGGAATCGCCTGTCTGCGTGCGTGCGTGTGTATGTGTGTGTGTGTGTGTGTGTGTGTGTGTGTGTGTGTCGTAGTCGACGTACGGTCTCGTGTCGCGTCGTGTCGTCGTTCGACGT